AGTCTACGCTCCTACACCCGCCCTGGAAAAAAGGACAAGTTTGAGCCATATGTTAAGATTTGGATTTTCACACTTCAAGTATCTAACATGACCAAAAGATGCTATATCAAAACACAGAGCACAAAAAATACATATGATGTGGGCAAAAAAATTGCCTCTAAACAGTTTAAAATATTTTTTTTGGTGCTTCCTACAGGTAATAACAACATATTTTATGGTTCTGTGTTTGATTTTCAATTTTTTATGTATGAGATACTTGTACTGTGAGAATGAAGTCTAAAAATATGACTCAAAGTTGGTGTTTTTTGCAGGGCCACTTAATTTCTCTCGGAGTTCCCAATCTCAGAGCATCCCTGGGGCTTCTAGGGGGAAGTTTACGGGCCCTGATTGTGGTCAAATTTTGGTGTCGTTTAGCACGCTTTAACAGTGTTCCTTTCTGTGTAGTGGTAGCACACTGATACAGCCGCTACACTGCGGTACGATACACTACAGCACTTTTTGCAGCAAAAAAAGGCAAAAAAACCTCTAGCCTAGCGGGCTCTTTTTTGCGCCTCGTGCGGGTAGGGTCAGGGAATTAGCGCAACTGTGTGTATCTGCGCTAACATTACACTAAAAATGTAGTGTTTTTTTTGATGCCCTATGCCAGGAGGAATGATAATGCCACGCCACGCCCCGTGGTGCACGCCAATCTGCTTTGGCGTGTGGACCTGCACGCCAATCTGCAAGTGGCGTGCAGATTGGCGTGCGCCATGGGGGTTGGCGTGCGCTTATCAACCCCCCTATGCCAGACTAATGATACCATTAGTGTAGCTGGCCCAGCATTGCTCAGAGTCACACATGGCCAATTGGGCCCTAAGATTGACAATCTTGAAACCGCAGGACATGAGATAAGCCTATAAGGGGAATGAAAGATTGTATGTAGGTAAGGAAATGTGATCCTTAAGAGTTGAAATTGGTAATGTCTTGAGTTTGACAAATTGGATTAAATGTGTTTGCAGGAATCCTGTATTTTACAATGTTGAAGAATCATCCTGATGCTAGAATGAAATCTGCCACTACCATTAAAGATTTAGGGGTACACCCCAGGGGCACTTCTTGCCGAGCGGGATCGTGGAACCGACGAATCACAGCCGATGCGTGGAACCCACGAGATTGGCTCTGTAAATGTTCTGTAAGTCCAATTTCGTCGTCGGTTCCACGAACCGAGTGTTTTCTTTGTCAATGGTGCCACGAAACGAAATTCGAGTTGGTCGGGACCACGTGGACACGTTGCCCACGTTGGTTCCACGACGGTCGACCCTCAATCCACCTACAACCAGGACCCACCGATGGGGGTCCTGACCGTCCAAAAACTCGAGAAAAATGGGTTTTGGAAGAAAAAAAAAAAAAAAAAAAAAAAAAAAAAAAAAAACGGAAAAAAAAGGGGATTAATAAATGTACCCCCCTTTTCTGCTATCCACACCTGGTTTTCTGCTTCTACACCCGGTTTTCACCAGCCTTTTTAATTCATTTTTTGGCAATTCTGAATATGCTAAAATCTTCTAAAATTGATAATTCTTTTTGGGTATATAAAAAATCCTTAAAAGAGAAATTTTAATTTTAATTTCAATTTTAATTTTAATTTATCTGATTCATCAAGTTTTTTTTTTCTGCCTATGAGTTTTTGAGAATTCAAAGTAAATTGAAATTTATCATTGATATTGTCCAATCTTTGGGAAATCTATAAAGGTCCAAATTTGATTTTGTTTTGGAAATCCCAATGTTGTTGGTTTTGAGCTATAAGCAAATGGACAAAATAAGGAATATCTTGAATGGTACCATCTGTATGGAGAAGAAAAATTAAAAACTTGACAATTAATAATAATTTTTGTCTTTAATTCAAGTTTTCAAGAGTTCATAGGGTCAAAAAAATTGGGAAAAAATGGGTGAGAAAAATAAAAAAAATTGAAGTTCTCTTTTGAGGATTTTTTATATACCCAAAAAGAATGATCAATTTTAGAAGATTTTTAGAATATTCAGAATTTCCAAAAAATGAATTGCAAAGGCTGGGAAAAACCAGGTGTAGAAGCAGAAAACCAGGTGTGAAAAACCGGGTGTGGATAGCAGAAAAGGGGGGTACGTTTATTAATCCCCAAAAAAAAAACTTCAAATTTTTTCTTGTTTGAAAGTGAGGGGAACGATGACTCCGGTGTGGGATACTTTATGGGTTACCATCCAACAACTTCAAAAATTTTATAGTTTCTTGTATATACAATAATACTACACCAAATATGGCTCTAGGAAGGGATTCCAGGCCAAAATCACCCTTGAGGAGCAGGCTTGGACACATGTAACCCCCCTGTGTTACATGTTACACCCTCTTTCACTCACAGGTAGGAGGGTCAAGCACCCTTACATGTTACAAGGATATCAGGTACACATTTCACCCCTCCGGGCCATGTGATCTGGCATCTGTACGTCTCAATCAAGTACAATGGAAGTATGCAGGCACAGCATACAGGTTACCTTGGCAACCTGTCATGCAATGCGTACAGCCTCAAATACAGGATGACATCATGCGGCTTACAGAACACAGCCTGCAGGTTGCTAGGTTGCATAGCAACTGTTGCACAGCTTGTCAATCCGACGGAAACCACTCAACTTCTCAAATCACATCATGTAGGCTGTACCACCAGCCAAAACCCCTCATGTATTCTTCCATCTTGGCCAAATTCCCTCATGTAAGGCTGTACAACCAGCCAAAATCCCTCATTCCTGGCTCCCCTGGAGCCAAAATACCTCATTGTTGTCTATATAAGGAGGCCCTTCCTCCCAGTTGTAATTTCTCCCCAGCAGACTTCCTGCAGACATTTCCCCACATAACAGGCAAATCACTGCTCACTCCATAATATTATTTGTTCCCCAATATTTTGGTTTTACAATTATAACAACCCTTACATACAATTATTACAACATCTTTACACATAACAACAACCCATTTTTCACCTGTCCACCTGTTAAACAACAGCGTATCTTTTGATACACTCCACTATCACTAATTAAAAGCTGCCAATCTAAGATTGGTGGTCTTGTTTAGTGTAGTACACAGGAAAGGCAGAGGTTACCTCACACATCCCTTTCCAAACTCAGCAAAAGGTTCTCACGAACACTTTAGAGCTTAACACCGGGCTGATCTGATCTCGGAAGGATGGTCTGAATCTCAAGACCATGTGGACCAGCGGTTGAGCCTCCTCATAGATGCTTGGCCCCGGTCCACTGCCGGAGTTCGACTCCGTGCCTGCTCCTTTTTAGGGCCACTGCCGATTCTTTAGCGGCAGCCCAGCGAGCTTCCTTGTTGGCTCCACGAGACAATCTCGGGATGCACCCGTGGGCCGATTGGTGGAGCCCACGGAATACTAAGGACCGTCAGATCTTGGTCTGACCTCCCGCGGGCGCCACTCGTGGGATCCACGGTAAAAACCGGTATTGGCCCACGTCAGTGTGCGCCCTAGGTGTATGGATTTCCGATGTTGAAGTCTTCTCTAATTTGAAGCTTTGAATCATCTGCAAAACATAAGGAAATGGGATCCGGTCTCACAAAAGAGGCTGTATTTTCAAAAGGACATGCCCAATGACAGTGTTGCAGCCACAGACAAGCGGTAGCTGAAGAACCCCCTATGCCTGCTCGTGTGTGGGTGGCCGGAATCGAACCGACATTTTCACGGTCCCGGGAGGAACCACAACGAGATTTCCTAACCATTAGAAGACACCCACCGCAGTGGAAGACTTAGTGAGGCTCACCGCCGCGGACTCAGCTCTCAAACTGCCAACCCCTCGATGACTATTTGCTGCACACAGTGCGCTCTCCTGGATTACCAGAATGGTGGTCGCAATTGTAGAGCCATAGAGACGCTTGTGGTGTGCCCTTGGGTTAAGGCACCGGGCGAGGTCGAAGTTGTCGGCCGAGGTTTCCGCCCGTTGGTCGAGTTCGGATTGGATGTGCAGCCGGCACCAGCGGGCCGGAGATGGGCCTAGATGAGATGGCGGCCGAGCATGACCCTTCCCAGAGCAGCAAGGAGCTCTCTCTGGATTCCATTTGTTCAATTGCAGTATCAAGTCGTGAATTTGGTGTGTCCCTGAGCAGAATCCAGCCGAATTCCAGAGGTACATAACTTGTAAGGACCCTCGAGTTTCATGCCCCGGAGATCCTCAGGATGCTCCGGAAGACATTTCCATAGACATACACTCACTACCTCTCACTACATGCTCCAAAACAGGTGATCCCGGAGATTTCTTCGCGTTTGATGCGACCTCCTGCGCCACACTCCTCCAAGAATCAAGTTGTCAACGTCTCACAGTCAACTATGTATGCCTTGGTTATGATGCCCTTCGTGGATAGATAGGCCCAAGTTCACGAGTTGTGTGCCGGTGAAGGGCTACTCTAGGATATAAAAGCCGGCCCACCCACCCAACTACCTCCTCGTCGCCCCACATTCCTTTAACTAGATCTGAATATTATACTCACACCTCTACGGAACCCCTTACCCTCGTTAAGAGCAAACAAACCATATAAACAAATTTCCGTAGAGTACCATCATTTACGGGCCCAAAAAATGTTTGCGTTTAATCAATTTATCATCATTGCTGCACTCACTTTGCTAGCCCGTGACTCCCTGGCCATCGAATGTACCCCTGAAAACATCCCTCATAGACCTGTGCGCAAAGGGCACTGTTGGAAGTAGGATCATTCTGCCCTCGCTATGATGGTTGTGATTCTTCACGCGATTGCGAACTGACCAGGTTTTGGATTTGTTACTATCGTAATTACTGATAGAGCTATCTCTCAAATCGTCTACAACTCTGATGGAACCCTGGATAAAACGTCCAGGCGAGTAAATTACAACTACGGAGAATGTCATGTACGTCCACCTCTGGATTCCAATCTTTCGTCCATATCATGTCCAATACTCATAGCTTCCTCAATCATCTCTGTCATCAGATTTCCTTCGACAATGACCTTGGAGAAGATGTGTGAGCGAAGTATAACTTCCAGTAACGCACCTATTAAGACCATTAACTCAGAATGTGTTTGTTTCACTCTCAGTACTAAGACACAAATAGAACAGGGCTTCCACAGGCTCTTCGATAAATGCCAAGATTATGTTAGTTTTCCGGTCAATTTGGCCTAAAAGCTTGGTAAACATGGCGCGAAGACACTGACCAAAGTTTCTGTGACTACACAGAATGGCGGAAACACTTACAATGAAGACGTGCCAACCCATTTCTACTTCGGCAATCGCGAACTAGGCACGTTCCAGGCTTGGGAACCCGACTATCCGGCCGGCGTACCATCTTGCGATATTCTGGACGGCGGCAAACCCATAACACAAGCCGACTGTGTCCAGTGAGTTCTCTGATGAATCGTTTGTGTAGATAAGTGGATATTTTTTTCCACGATCTGACTATAAGCCGTACTTGTTCCACCAACCAGGGCGCTTGCCAGCATCCCTGCCGATGCCCATGGACGGCTCGTAGGTGATGACTACCAGCTGACTGACCATATTGAAAAACGTTACCGATCCTGCGTTGTAAGTTCAACAATCCCCCCGCCATTGTCATCAGAGAGTGTTGAAGCGGTTTCTAACATCAAACTAAATTTGTTCAACCCATCAGGTGAATGTGTACACCTCCGATTTTTCAAAACTCATGGTGTGAGTACTTAGTTATATTCAAACTTACATCGACTCCACCAACTCCGAAAGCGTTTCTCAGAATCAGATGGAGCTGATTCTAGTGATTTTTACTTCCTTTGACGCATCAGAATAAAACCGGATGTTGAAGACAATCTTGGCAAGACAATGGACTGGTGCCACGAGAAGGTGAGCATTTTCTTCTTGTCTCATTCAGCTGCATACCAAATCGATAGGGTAAAGCACTTACCTTAGATATACCACCTTGACAGTGCGGTGTAATTCGGATTCCGGGAGGGGCCGAGGGACCCAATGGCAGAGCCTACGTGACCTTGAGGAACGTTAAACGGGGTGGCTGTCAGGAACCCCGCACTCCATTGCGTACCAAATGAAATTTGGTTATCTGCGGCTAGCTGGCTTCCATTCTTTTCTTCGTTCGTTTTGTAACCTCAATCATCCCATCACTAGTTTCTGTCGTTAATCTAAAGTAAGACAATCATAACTGGAAGATTTTCAAAAGGTGCAACACCTTGTTACCATCATAGATTTGCATTGAGTTATCGATGTTGAAGGTGTAATCCCTGTAGAAGGGAATACAAGCAGCAATGTCATCAGCGGTGATGAGCCTGCTGCCACACCTGCTGAGCTTGGTGTATCAGAAAGCAATAAAAGAAGTAATGCACCAGAGGACTGGAGCATTCCCTTTAAAAAGAAAAAGTAATTCTTTACTTTCACCCTTTGAAAGCAAAAAGATTACTTTCCCCAGAAGAAAGTACACCAGTACTTTTCTCCTGGATAAAATGTCTCATGGAGCTTTCTCCACAAGAAAGCAGACTGCTGAGACCAATGTCTTAGCAGCAATATTCTTGTATAAATATCAGTTCCCTTTTCCCCATTTTGTATCTCTCATCCATTCACTTTATCATCTCATCTTATCCCCTCACATACCAACACACACACACACACACATACCCACAACAACTACCACCAACACCTTTGTCCCCTTTCTACTTTATTGGTTTACTAAATACTTTAGAAATAAACAAACTACACCTTAAACCTTACCCCAACAACAACAATCGAGGGTACTTCACTCACCAATGTAAAAGAAACGGTCAGGCACGCTTACTGGAGTGTTGCGAAATCAGTATTGACTTGAACTCAGAATTCAGGGGGGGGGGAAGGCTGCAGTTTTGCTCTTTGCGCTCTTGGATGTTAGAATCAAACACAGGACCTGACAAGGTCTTCTGAAGTTCCCAAGAAGAAACCACTTGCTAGACCTTGAGGTCTCTATGCTTATGTCTTTTCTATGTCCTTTATGTTGACTGGTGAGCCAATCTTGTTAAGTCAAAAAAGAAGCAATGTCACCAAAAATCAAATGAAAATCTTAAATGTTGCGAATGAGAAAAAGTGCGACACGGTCAAGATAGGCTTTAATGTTCAAATCCAACAGTTAGGACAAATACTCAGAAGCTTGGCAGCAGTGGATTGAGACTTTAGAGCCATATATATCTTTGTTGCATTTAGAATTGTTCCAGTCCATACAAAACAGGGGATCCAACCTCGACACGCCTTGGGAGCTTATGGAGCCTTTTTTAGGTGCTCTCATCATGAGCAACAATTGTCAGAAATCTTCAAGTGGGACCGGTTGCGTGAATTCTGATCAAGCAGTGTGGCCAACTGATTTCGGAAATTTCCCTGTGTGCGTGAAGATAGCTTCTCCGAGTTGCACTTTCTCAATCGCAAGCTCTGTGACTTCAGCTGGGAAGCCGCGGCGCCTCCTGCCAGCTCCTGCCGAAATATTTCTCTCGACATGTGGAGGTTCCGAAGATGCCGCCGGAGGAGTTTTTGATAACGCATTCGCATCCTCAGGTTTCATCCCTGCAGAGGATCGCCATAGCGCTGAGCTGAAAGCAGACTTTTGTACCCTCGCACATTGATAGGTATTTACTGCCCTTCTAGTTTTGCATCGTTTGATGCCACCTCCTTGAGCACCTTCCGTTGTCATCGCCGATGGAGGGCCAGGTTGAACACCAGGTAATATATATATCCTTCATCCCTGGAGAATGCCTTCGTGCACTTCAGAAGACACACCACTTGGAAACGGGCAGGCGGGGTTTGTTCTTGTTCTGCAGCCACCTCCCTCGCAGATGACACGGCGCGACTTGGAAACAGACGCTCAGGGTTTCATCTTGAAGCCTGCTCTCCTGAGAATCCCCCCATGTGGTAATACAAGAGGTGGAGTTGTCTCGGCAAGATGAGGTGTGGGGGTATTTATAGAGCGCAAACCGGCGAAGGCCATCCCCCCACCTGCATTGCCATTCGTAATAATCATTCCTCAGACACTCAACTCCTTCATTTTCTGTCCTAAACTACTTGATCTTATCGAGATCACACATTCTTTAAACCCCCACAAGTTCACTACAGCACACCCTTACCGAAACTTATCACACACTCACGCCATTCAAAATGGTTGCCTACTACAACCACTTCGTCCTCAGCGCTTTAATCGCCTTCCTCGCCGGAGAATCTCTCGCAATCGAGTGCGATTCGAGACTTATCCCCCATAGACCGGTGCGCAAGGCGGAATGTATGAGGTATGCCCCCTGATCGTCTAGGATTTTGGGTCCTGAATAACGAGGGGCACAACTGACAAGACTGTGGCATTGTTCTCACATTCAGAGCAATCTCTCAAATTGTTTACAATTCCGACAACACCCTTGACACAACCTCCAAGCGAGTAGATTACACTTTCGGAGAATGCAATGTATGTCCGCCCACCTCTCAATCCTAAACAATTCTAAAATGCCTCTATTGAGCCTCAGAGAGACTGACAACTGAATCGAACACTTCAAATTATCAGGTCTCTATCTACAATGATTTGGGCATTGAAATGTGAGCCCAAGACAGTTTGTAGCAAGAGCATCTCAATATCTTGGCCCTGACCGCGTACTGTTTCTCACCTCAGCACCAAGGCCCAAGTCGAACATCGTTTCAACAAGATCCTTGACAAATGCCGATACGATGTCAGTGTTTACTCTTGACCCTTGATTCCTGATCACACATGAATATGAAGGCGCAAATTACTCACTGTGAACCAAAAACAATCCGACTGTTATCAGGCCGGCGGAAACGACTTCCACGACAATGACCCGGTCTTTTTCTACATCGGCAACCGCGCAATCGGCAGGTTCCAGTCGTGGGACTCCGACTTCCCCACCCGACTACCAACGTGTGCGGTGGAGGACAATGCACCCGCCCTGTACCAGGACGATTGTATCAAGTGAGTAGACTAGTGGTCCGGTCAATCATGTCCTTCTTCCATCTTTTGACGAGGCCTATCTCTTCAAATCCTTCTTCTAGGGCGTTCTCCGACATCGCCACTGACACCACTGGACGGATCCTAACCGATGACTACAAGCAAACTGACCAAGTCGAAAAGACTTACAAATCTTGCACCGTAAGTCCAGTCATTAACCAGCAGCTTCACATGCTAGCATGAACTAGTTTTGATTAGGTAGCTGACATTATTATAATGAATCTTTTGATCTCCTCAGATAAATGTATACACCTACGACTTTTCGAAACTCGATGTGTGAGTATCCAATTTACCATAATCTTGATTCCTCTCAACCATGACTTTTCTTTGCTAGGGGGTGGCACTGACTCGAACGACCTGCTTCTCTTACTACGACTCAGAACCAAGCCAGAACTTGAAGACGACTTTGTCAAGACACTCCAGTACTGCAGCAACAAGGTGAGCAATCCTGTATTCTCCCTCATCAAACAAAGCCACTGAGCAGATGATGCCTTTCTTCGACAGTGCGGTGTGATCCGGATCGTAGGAGGCACCCATGGGCCCAACGGCAGAGTCTACCTCAGCTTCAAGCACGCCCAATCTCAGGATAGCTGCTCCATCTATCGCTCCCCATTACGAACCCAATGAACAATCCTTCTACACACACACACACGCCGCGTGCCTACTCTGCTCCTCATTCATTTGTTGTCTGAATTTTACAATCGCTGAAAAAAATAGAAAAAACTCGGTCTCTTCTGTCCCTTTAGTTCATTCGTTTGTCGTCCAGTCTCATCAATATACACATAGCTATCCTCCGCAACAAACCCCCTTGGCCCCTGAATGTCTCCAATAAAACCAACTGTTCATACCTCCTACATTCCACGATTCATTTGCCATCTCAACTCTCTCAATGTTGTCATGGTTCGATTAAAAAAAGAGAGAAACCCCCTGGATTCTACGAATTTGATCCAGAAGTACGTGGGCAAATACGCTCATGCGGAAGAAGAGCCAATACGAGTCCCCACGCACTATCACCGTATGAGCCGAAAGACTGATGATGAGAAAGAGCAAATTTGCCTCGGATTGAGAGTTTTGACAATGGGGGAGCAATCCGAGCAAGTCAAGGGCTCGAAGTGCACCGACAATCACAGTGAGTGTAACAAATACTCGCGGCCAAAGGATCACATGTCAAGTAAGCCTTGAATTGGGATAAGCTTATTCCGACTCACAGATCACAACAATTTTGATCAATTGTAAATTAAGCATCCATTGAAATACACCAATAATACCCTCCAAAATATTAATGAATACATAGATTAAGTCACTATATTAGGCAAATATATGAGTCAAGTCCCGTGTGTAAAGTTACGAAAATGAAGACAAATAGGTATACATATGTGTACAAAGATACAAGTACAAGTGATACACATGCACATGCTGACGGAGAGCGAACCGAAGGGGGGACATGGAGTTTACAAATGTCAATATTAATGGTCAGAGGGGTTAGCAATAAATGAATAGAGATCTTTGGAAGTGGGGTGATTTTGAACGGTCGACTTGAGATGAGAGGCAATACAAATATACACAATCGGATTGGAGGCGGACAGAGAAGGATGCGATAGGACAGGCTAGATTCTGATCAAGTTGAAATGTATTGGAAACACGCGGTCACTTCGTTCAGCCCGACCTCAGAGCGTAATAAATCGTCATGTAGGTCGACCATGTGTGGGTTTGTATAATGATTCCATCTATCACCATCAAATCAAAATCCAAAATAAAAGATCAGATTGCATTGATCTATCAAATGATTGATGCTATAGATGAATGGATGAGAGTACTGACGTCGATTGGTCTCCATATAACATTGCCGGGGCCTTGACGATCTGTTTGCCATCTCGACACCGTTTACATCTGTCACCACAAAAAAAAATGAATCAATTGTCCATTGTATGCAGTGGGAGAAAAAAGAAGAAAAGTGCAGATAGACAGGAGGGTGACTGACTTGTAAACATCATGTGTGTCGGATTGCGTGTTCTCGTTAAGCCTGAACAGTTCTTTCAAGGATTCGCGGGAAAACATCCGCGCTTCATCTTCTTGTTCATCGACCACGGATGCCGAAAGTTTCATCTTTTGAGACTGTCGTTGGAACACTTTTTCTTCAACACTTCCAGTCTATCTCATCAAGCCATCAAGATTTGTTTTTGACACACAGCAAAAGTAACAAAAGGGACGAGATGATGGTGAATCAAACAGATGAGATTAGATCTTGAGAGAGAGAGAGAGGGGGGGAGAGAGAAGAAAGACGGACCAAGATGAAGCGATAGACGAAACAGTTTTTCTTTTGGCCGTCTCTCCAAACCCGGGCCAGAGCTTGTTGATCGGAAGCGGGATTCCAATCGGGATCGAACAAGATGAGCCGATTAGCGCCGATGAGATTGATCCCACATCCGCCGGCCTTACTGCTCAAGAGGAAGATGAACTCCTTGCCCTCGGGATCGTTGAACCGATCCACAAGCTTCTGTCGCTTGGTGATCTGCATCGTCCCGTCTAGTCTTAGATTCCCCCATCTCCTCTCTCTACACATCTTTTCCATCACATCCAGGGTTTGGGTAAAGTTGCTGATCAACACTATCTTATCTGTCGTTTCGGTCTTGATCTTGTGTAAAAACCTGTGTGTTTGTATTTTGTTGTGTCAATCACAAGTCACTTGGTCACGTGTCATCTTAAGAAGTGCTGAATTATGTGTTTCTGGAAGAAAGAATGAAAATAACTCTCACCGTTCAAGCACGGTCATTTTACCAGACAACTCAGGTCTAGCCGGCGCTCGCGGATCCTTGGACCGATAGCCATCCGGGAAATACTTCTCAGAGCCCGGGATATCTTGTTGCAAGTCGAGCAAATCAGGATGGTTGCACAGTTTGCGAAGAATGCCCAACATCTTCAAAGGTTGACATCCCACTCCTCTCAACAGCTTTTGCAGATCGGGCGAATCGATAAAGTGCCGATATAGATCTAGTTGGAACGCTGATGGAGCACAAAACACCACATGCTCGTACTTGACCGGCACTGAGAAAAAACTCAATTGAATCAGTATACACATTGAAAAGAAAAGGATAGAAGGGACAAGATAATAACTCACGATATTTGGATAGTAAATCATTGGTCCTTCTGATGATGAATTTCTGGACTTTGGTAGTAAGCTCCTTCAATTTGGCTTCAGCCAAGGCCACTTCGGATTCACTCGAATCCGAGTCGCGTCCTCTCAGGATAGGCAGTTCATACGATTTCCGAAACTGGGCGCGGTCGCCCAAGTAGTTCGGATTAGCGAAATTCAGGAGGGCGAAGTATTCCGACAAGTCGTTTTGGATCGGGGTGCCGGTTAGGATCACCCTTCGTTCACAATTGATCCCGTTGAGGGCGGCATAGGTTTGGTTGTCTGGCGTGAAAGAAATTGATTCGGTTCGATCTGAGCATCAGTTTATTTTTAAAAAAAAGATAAGCTGCTGACCAGCATTTTTGAGACGATGTCCCTCGTCACATAGTAGCAGACCAACCGGTGTCCGACCCAATTCTTCGACGAGAGTGCCCCTCAAGGTTTCGTAGGAGACAATCATCACTGGCTGAGGGACTCTGCGACCAGTAGCCGAGACCCACTGACGAACACTCGTGAGAAGATTGGCCTTGGTCTGCTTGCCATCGACCGCAAGCGGGTTGATCGCCCCCGGGCCTAGCCACTTGTCAAACTCATTGGCCCAGTTCTTCACCAGCGAGGATGGACACGCAACTATCGCTTTCTCTATCGACGGCTTGCCAGCAATCGGCGATTGTTTTAGTAACGTCCAGAGAAGAGTTATGCATTGTAAGGTTTTGCCTAAACCCATTCTGTCAAGCAAGAAAAAAAAAGCAAACTCGAATTAATTCGAAAGACGGAAGAATTAGTCAGAACAAATAGGTTATGACTTACTCGTCGGCCATGATACAGCCCTTTGCGCCCTGCTCGACCATACCGGTAGCACATCGGTAAAGGAACTTGACGCCCTCGACTTGATGAGGTCTGAGAGTTTTAGACAGACGGGGGTCAAGGACGACTGGTACTTTCTTGATATCCTTAGGGTCGCCGGGTTTCTTGATTCCGAGGAGGTCGGGCAAGCTCTTATGGGGGCCCTTCTGGCGTTCGAGCTCGAGCTTCAACCGGGTCTGTTCCGCCTCGATCTCCGCCGCGGTCCGTTCTGGATCCCCCTCGCCCACCGGCTTCGGCGCCGGTCGGTCATCGACCGTCGGGTCCCATAACACGATCGCCGTGTCCGCTAACGGATCGTGCAGTGGTCTCGGCGCAAAGATCGGCTGCGGGCGCGCGCCCAGTGGCATTCCTGATAATCTTACCTCGAGTAGCGTCCCTGTCTTTGGATCCCTCATCGTGGGCAAACTGAATGTTTTCGGTGAGTCGTTTAATGGTGTAACAGAGACCTTTCCGAATTTCTGCAATATTTCAGATAAATTTCGTGGAGCAATAAAATAAAAAGGTTTACCGTTTGCGTGCACAGACACGTTTGTATGTATGTATGGGACGAACCCTGACTGGAGTGACGACCATTTCTTTAATAGGTCTTCCAAACCGATCTCGTTTGATTTTCTTGACCATCTTCCCGTTGTCGTCCTCCTCGAATTCCTCCTCATCCTCATTTTTCTTCTTCTTCTTTTTCTTATTATCAGTTTCTACGGATTGATCACCATCGGCATAATTGACTGATTTCCGGGACCTTGACGATTTGCTGTGAAGGGAGACGGCCGGACGGACAGGAGTGAATTTTCGGGATAGTCTAGGATAGAACAGTTAAATATAAGGATGTCAGCATCGATTGGTTTCTTTTTGGCAGTGAGATGAAGAATTGATAATGAATACATTTCGGTAGGGTCTACTTGACTCTTACCACTGATCAAGGATGCTGGTGTCCTGGCTGTTGTTGATGCGGATGATGCTGCCGTATTCTGGGTGGGAGTTCCAGGGGTCATATTCGGATATCGTTTCTTGATGTTTCGTTCCTGATGTGATGGGCTTGCTTCGGTTTTGGAAGTTGTCTTCAAAGAGGCGTTGCTCGCCAATCAAGCCTTCCCTGCGAGCGCGCGTCACCCCACGGGGGGCTCGCTCGACACCCCCGGAGGAAATTTCAAGTGTCCAATCCTCTTCGCCTGTTTTCTTTCTTGCAGCCTTGATCAAGCCAGCTTCATCGTATGTACCAACTGATAATCAATTCATCAAAATAACAATCTGCCTACAAACCTTCCCAGTAATTCACCTGGTTGAATTTTGCTTCTAGTTTGAACAAAATGAAAGTACTTTGTGAATTAGATCATGTTCATTATCTGGCACATGGCCATCAAGCAAGATCCCACCCAAACCCTCATTAACGAGCATTGAAACCAAGCACATTGTGCGTTTACTGAAGAAAACATCAAGTTGGAGAACAAATCCAACTCAGAATCATCAAAAGTTTAATTTAAATTCTGCAATAGAAAAACATTTGTTTGAAAAAATAAAGCCTGATTGGGTGAGGGAAGTCAAAGAATAGTTCTCCTGCCACTGGAGATGGGAAAGTTGAAGGAGGACAGGAAATTGCAAACTGTCCGGGGGGACAAGGGGGTCCTTTTTCATATTTCAGGATCATTGAAGATGAAGTTTGTTCTTCTACCATTATCACAGAATGTTGGTCTTGATTCACCAAAATTGAAGTGATAGACTCTAACCTCAACACTGTTTGATTTTAAGAGGTTGATTTGGTGAAGAAATACTCAAAAGAATTTCGATCGCACACATTGTTGCTTGTATTGTAAGTGGATAATATAGTAAGTAAGTCTAGACTGATAATACCTCATTCAAGCTGATCTGGTGAGCTCAAGCAGACCAGGTGCATCCCATTCATCTGGGGGAGCACTGGCGATACAACAATGAATAGAATGAATATGGAAAAGTACAAAGAGCAAAGAAAAGAAACAGCAATGGTCATTGGTATGAATGAATGTACGAATTCCAAGACGTTTTCATCCCACTGCACTTATGGCATTTCGATGAGTGGATCGTCTTCTCCATGGCATATTCTGTCTATGACTTTGTGACTGGTTCCGTTGGATGTGCACATGTACCATTTGTCCTTGTCTGCATCTCCACTTCGCTCCATTTTTTCGACTGAGTCTGTGGTGTTGCCGATGGAGGAAGGATTCATGGTTGAGTTGGTTTCGAGAGACCCTTCCTTTGGGTCAGCCTTCTCTGACTTGTTGATCGAATCATGCTCGCTCGTGTCGGAGATATTGGCCCCTGGGCTCTTTTTCATTTCTAGAGAAGATTTCGATAAGGGCACATACTTACATCAGTCTTGAGGTTGGATGCAATGAAGTCGAATGAAGTAGGATAGTCGGATCCGGGAAGATTATGAAATCATCAAAAACAAAATGCTAACCTTGCTCGGAAGTCTTATTGACTATGAACGGGAGTCGTGATCATAATTTAAAAGGATTAATGAAAACGTTAAATTTAATACTTTTAACCCTTCGCATTCCCGAGAAGATAGCAACCTATAACTTACAAAGACCTGGAACGAAACCGCCAACGGATTTTAACCCCGCGTAAGATACATTGACGTTTTTGTCATCGGCGCAGGGCAAGATTGCAACACCCGTGAGGTTCATTGTGCCGGACTTGTCGGATCCATCATTCGCTTCAAGGGTGTGAGACGGAAGACAATCGTCTATCATGGTGTCGTTAGGAGCCGTTTGGTTCTGGACCTCGTATTGATGAGGCGGGAAAACAGTCCTCGAGTTGTAGGTGGGTAGGTAGTACGCAGAGATCATTTGAAGAGACAGAAATATGATCAGGGAATGCATTTTGATTTATAGGTCTGACTACTGTTGGGGTTTAAGGGATGATGAGAAGTTATCGATAAGGGGGATGAAATATTTTCAAGAGGTGTTATGTGAAATATTTGTAGCACTGCGACTTGAGATTTAGAAAACCAAGTGACCAAAGGGCAGACAGTGCATCATTTATAGTCTTTTGGGAAGGACCGAAGACTCAGTCTGACCACCAAGTTACATTTTGCCCAGTAGCCAGCAGTCTTTGATGGCTGAGTAAAATTATGTGCCCGCTCAAATTAAAGCGGTGGCCCGGGGTCAAATCACGGAACAATTAAACAAGTTATTAACTCAGGATTCGTAGCTTTCGTTAGCTTGAGTCATTAGACATTGTGTAGCCAGTCTAGCATATGTACACACGTAAGATGTATTTCCGGAGAATGACCGGTTACACGATGGCATCAATAGCTGAAATATTTCTTGGTGAAGAGACTACACGAACATGGAAGAGATGGAAGAATGTCTGATCGTATTTGCTCTACATAGAGCAGTGAAAGGAAATATCCTCTTTGCCCAACCTGCCGGTTTCGTAACCGGAGAGACTGAAGGCCTAGTTTGATTTCCCTTCTCTTCGGACTGGGAGGACGCGACGCCTGTAATTTATGAGACGGCATTCGAATTTCGTCTATGCTTCAGCGGCTGCGAACCTGAGGTTTATGGACCTGCATCTTGGCATGCCTTGCTTGCTCAGTCGTAGTAGTACAAACAACGGCACATAATCTCTTAAACTATAGAAAACCGGGAGGACAGTTCCGAAGGGCCAGACTACTCTGTGTAGGGAATAGAATTATAGAACCGTATGGTGCTCGACATGTCGCTGCTGAGGTGTTTGTCACACCATTTCAACAAACTGAGCAAAGGAAAATCGAATTCTGAACTGTCGGGAACAGTGCTAATCAGTGTAGAACTCAGTGACTGCCTTTGGTGATAGGAAGCAGCATACAGTTGTGGCGACGAGCCATCTTCAATTAGCGGCAAATCGGTCCAGCAGAGTAGTGCACTAATCATCAAGTTACCCCAGATAGCAAGAGAAAGAGATCACCCTATGTTTCGCTGTCATCTACATGAAATCTAGCTCCATAACCTGAGCCCAACTCAGCCTGTGTAGCAAACCAGGAATCAAGTTTGTCGATCTTTTCACCCATGCAGTATTTATAGCGCATTCTAATGCCTCCAAATGCAAGGCAAATGACAAAGTACCAGTCTCACAATGAAAGAAGAAAATTTCCTCATCACAGCTTTATTGGCTTTAGAGCCGAAAGACGTGACTACCGTGATCACAGAAGAGGAGTTCGCCGTCTCCCGCCGGAATGTTGAACCGGTGCCCGACCTGTGGACCGATATGGGTAAGTAACTGGATGTCAATATATACTCAACCATGTGAAGTGATCGACCAATTCTTCTTTGTTTTTAGAGAGGATGTTGAGGCGTTATAACTCGCCCAGGACGCGTCGACGTGCAGTCCCCGGGTCCATTCAACCGAAACTTCCATCTCTCCCCAGGCTCAGCCTTCGTCTGCCGACCAAGAGGCCAGTAACGTTCCCCAACTTCGAGTCAATGGGAAGACCGATGTCTGCTGCAGAAAAATCCAGGAATGAACTCCTCGCTTGGCCCAAGAAGGTATACGATCCGAGACTTTTCCAAAACCAAGAGGAGATCGTCCCGGTGGGTCCAAAACAGACCCCTCTTGCCCCGCAATCCCATCCCCACGGCCCTTCACCATCATGTCAAGTCGGTGAGCACGACGGCCCTGATGGAAACGACGAACACCCGCTGATGAGTTTGAGCCAACTGATCGCTGAAGTCGACCAATACTACAGACCCTCCTGAATCACCTTGGGCCAAATAATGTGCAGATTAACACACTGTGAGCCACAATGAACCAATTATTGATTCCGTAATCTCACACTGATTCTCACAAATTCTTTGATTTGATCTGGCTGTTTTAAGTGCGCTCAATTTGGGCTCTTTATCACTGATGGGTTATCTTATCAATCAATGTCTTGCCTATTTTTGCTGGTCATTTTAAGGTTGGGTCAGGACTTAACTAATGTTGTACTTTTTTGTACAACAGAAAAATTGAATAATTAGACATTCAAATGCCTACAATAATTGCAGAAATTATTTACATGATATTGAAAAGAGTGAAGATAATGCTGAGATTTGGACTAGGTCGCAATAAGGATCCCTAGGAATTGGATCCTGGCAAGTCCCCTACAAATAATACTTTTTTGCAAAAAAAAGAGATGGCCAAGAAGACATAAGAAACATTATTGAAGCTGGCTAGAATTATTTAGCTGTTTACAATAGAATTGAATATATCTCTGTGAGGTCTAAAGGTCCTGAGTCTTGGTAGATGTGACTGAGGATAAAGAAGACCCTTAGAGGGTCCAGGGTGGTAGAAGTTAAACCAATGATGTTAAATAGATACAATTTTTTCTGTTTTGTTTCAGAAATTTTATGCTAATTCTAACCGGCTCAAATAGAAACATATGGGCCATTAACATTGCCACATGATAGCATAGGAACCCAATGAAAAGTATAAATTGAAGTCAAAATTGTTGTAGGGATTTAAAGCATAAAAACCCAATTTCTGCAATAGCACTACAGAGCAAATTGAGGAATCTGCCTGCAAATGCAGATTGTCTCACTTGGGGGAAAATTGTGTCTGGACTCTGGATAAGGTTCCATACATCATGAAGACATTTCATTTTTGGAGTCTACACCATGTATGTAGATTCCAAATCTAATTGAACAACTCCACTGCGGACCGTAAATTGGGTCCATGTGTGGAATACAAGGACTTGACACGACCCACCACAGTCCCTAAATTCTGCGCTTCAGTCCTTGCAATTTCTACCAAGGGGTACATATGCCCTTAGACAGCCCCAGATCTATTTTTACCTGGCTTACTGGTGAGATGATAATCACTGATTGGTTTATCATCATATTGGGCAAATTGCCTTGCGGCCACTTAATGAACAAAACCATCAAAAATCAGTGTGTCCCTAGCAAAGTTACCCTTCAGAAATCAGAATCTTGGTAAAATTTTGTACCATAACCTTGTTTTTTTCAGGATTTCTGGGAACATAACTAGCACAAAAAGAGGCCTTTTGCTCCAGTAGATATTGTGACTGAAATAAAGATACCTGTAAGGTGCAGTTAACATAACTGTAAAGGGTCACAGTTGACTTTATCCATTTGAGTAACAAATCTGCCCAGTGCTGGTAGAATTTTTAAGTATGCCTTTAGACAGTTTATGCCCTTAAAAGGAGTGAGTTTTCAGTGAAATAAATGCGTGGGAGAAGCCATTCACTTTGCCTTTAGACAGTTTATTCCCACAGAAGGGTATGCCCTTAGACAGGTTTCACTGTATAATCAGTTTTTCTATGGCCTCCATGGATTGATTGTGTGTTTTTCTGGGAATTGTAATGTAATTGGAGATTTGAAATCTGTACAACATGTTTCTGCTTGGAATACATAGTGGCAACTGAGTTGGTTGGACCCCAAAACATACTTGGAGCGGCGGGCGGACATCCCCGACTACCTCCCCGGGGCCCGGGCCACCCGCTACAACCAATTTCCTTCTCCATCGGGCGTATGACGTAACTTGCCCTCCAGCCTCCAACATTTCCCTCTTGACCGTTTCCCCCTCCCCAATCGCAAGATGGCCAACAACGAGCTCGTCCAACATCGGCAAACCAGCAATCGACACTTGCTCTTCTTACTCTCACTCTCCCTTCTACCCATCTACACCTTCACTCGATCTCGCTGGATTCGTTGAGTCTCTCTCTTTTCATCATTCTAGATACTCCTGACCATTCAACAGGATCGAGCTCATATTCGTTTGTTTTCTTTTGGTAGCTCGATTGGGACTCGATCAGATTCACTTGGTACTCCTCCAACTCATCTTCACTTACTTCTTTTCTCAAAGGTTTTCCTCAAAAAGTGCATCGAGATCGACAAATGCCCTAGAGGAGGATAACATTCTAGTTGAAGGAGAAGAGGAGGTTGAAGGAAAGAAGAAGAAGAAAAAGATAGACACGTCGGAATGTACAACGGTTGGGATCGCCAAGAGTCTAAGAGAATTAGTTGATCGACCGTCGGATTGGACGAATGTGTTTCCGACACCAGGAATCGAGATCCTGCGGCATCGGACGATCAGTTCCCTCTATGCCGTCCGGACAGAATTCGAAGAGGATCACAGCTTGACTATGGAACAGTTGATCCGTTGTATACGGGAATCCAAACAATGGGAGTGGGATCGGATGTGTGAATGTGGTGAAGACTTGGGCGACGGGGTGACTTGGGTCCGGCTCAAGGGGTTCTGGCCGATCAAAGTGAGCTTCTATTTATGTCGACCATCCCACATCGCCCTTTGATCCATATTGATATATAAACATATGTGTATGAGCCCACAGCCGAAAGAATTGGTCATGCGTTCATGCATGTTCCGCTTACCTGGTCCGGATAATGGTTCACGATCAGTCGAAGACCCAAGCTCAAAACCGCCGATCAGGATCTTGGCAGCCTCTAGTAGCACAACCCATCCGTTGAAGAAATCCACTCTGGAAATCAAGTTCGCAGGATATCTGATCGAGCAACTGTCTTCGTCTAGCGGCCTTCGTGTCACACAAATAGTCGACCTGTCGGGCTTCGGTGGTGCGTAAATTCGAAAGCACGGGGGAGGGGGAATTTATTTTGTTTCTTTCATGCTTGTTTTGTGTCTCTGATATGAACATTTATTCTGTACAGCCTTGCCGACATTCGTGATCAAGGCGATCGTGTGCAAGTTTGTACCTTCATCATTACGGAAGTTGGTTGGCCTGGCACAACGGTTACCTCCACTCCCACCACCAACCTCACCAATAACTGAAGGATCCGGGCCTTCGTGGATGCCTCCACTTCTTATGAACGAGTCGAAGATTGGCGGTCCCTCAGTCGGTTCAAAACCTTCAACCGAGAGTCAACGCTTAAAACTCGAAATCGATCAACTTAAGAAAATCATCAATGACTTACAGAATCAGAAAGATAAGAACAAATCGCCCTTTCTAGTCCGTCCTGCTTGGATCGATAAATTTAATCATCTCTCATTGGCTTCTGTCGTCGGTACCTCTATGGCCATCTGCCTCTCTTTTGCTATCAAGAAACGTCTCGCTAATCGTCGTGAAAAAGTACGTTGGATGTAGCTCAGATTTATCTTGTCACTGACTTGTTTATCACACATAAAGATAACAGTTTTCTTTTTCTTTTTCTTTCCCCCCCTTTCTTTGTCTCTCTTCTCCGCTTTTTTTTATAGAAAGATCTCTTGTATTTGGTTAATGATTGGGCACCTGATGATTTAGTTTTCCTTCTTGAATTCCTTTCAAGAAAGAGAGAGTGATTCATATTCACATCTATCTATCTTCAATTCATTCATTCTCATTTTGATCTATCTACCACTGGCCTATATATCTTGAGCTGTTAGATCTCATGGATATAGGAAGACGTAGTAAGACAGCTATTTTTCTTATCATACTTAGATGTGGAGGAATCTTCATTCCTCTTAGATTTCTTTTTTTGAATCATCATCTTGTACATATCATGCATACATTCATATGGATATCCAAAACAACACAGAGCAGGGTGAAATCAATCAAGCAAATTCAATCTTGTATTATTATTGTTACATATTACCATTTTCATTTATCTATTTATTGAGGGACAGTGGACTGATTAAAATGCAAAAGAAGAAAAAATTGATGGCTTGTCTTGGTTTTCATTTTATTGTTTTTTGGGGAATCATTTTGGTGCTTTGTCAGAGTGATTTTCTCATGTGATCAAATCACATCATTGTGAAACATACACCATGGGGTGGGTTTTCAGAAAAACCCCCAGCAGTTGGATGGATTCCGTCCCAGGCACCCGCAACCTGGTTGTGAAGCATCCAACGGACTCTTGGGTGTGCTTGGCATCACTTGGATGCTTCAGAAAGCGTCCAAGTGATGCTTGGCAGTGGAAACCTTCCAGAGGATGGTGTACAGCCTGGTGTCCATTGGACACTTGATTGAGAGTGTCCAACACTGTGAAAAAATCTCGTGTAACTGGCAGCAGTTGACATGTGGGAACTCCAATGAAACTTGTGTTTCAACTCAAATGTTACTTGAGTCAAACCTTGATGCACAGTGACTGTGCATCATGCACAGTCACTGCAGAAAAAATCATTTTGGAATAATTCTCTGTAATAACCAAGTTACAGTGTAACTACCCCGCATGTCAACTGCAACCAGTTGAATAAGATTTTTTCACAGTGCAATGGACAGCAAAAAAACCATCAATCAGACACTTGTCAGAGTGTCCGATTGATGGTTTTCACCAGGGTCCGGCAGTTGAAAAAAAAAGGTGGATTGTTGAAAAATGAGCTTGGAGGGTGCCAGATGGTCAAAAAACCATCCAAAAATGCAACAGGGGGTCTACAAAGGACCTTTTGGAGGGAGCAGTACACACCATGGACAGTTGCCGTGCAGCAACATCCGGAAAAATCCAAGCACTTGACTGCAGCAGTAGGTGCAGTCACTGCGCATGAAACCCCATCAAAACCCCAGATGTCGCTCCCTGTGGGAGCAACATTCAAATGCCCATGATGACAGAGTCTATAGTCAAGTGGCAAGGTACTGGATGATCAGGCACCTTTCTGGTAGCCTGGTACTGATGGTACCTTCAGGTCATGGGTTCAAGCCTTGATTGCTGATATTTTTTGGTCCCCACGGGCTTGTAAGCCTACCATCCAATGGATGGTTTAGCCCTACCATCCAGGTTCAGCAAAATTCAAGTCGCAGGGCCAAAGTCGGATGGCATTTGGTACATCCATTTGGGTGTCCAAATGCCATTCACCACACCCGGTGGTGTAGGTGCATACAATGTATCATGGGAATAATATGAATGAATGCGCCTTGGTCAACCTAATGATGGGATCTATGTGGTGTACATCATTTTCTACAGTTAAATCACATGAACTGTTATCCTGACTAAAATTCTGTCCTGGTTTCTGAAAATGCAACAAACCATTTCAGCAAACAATTGCAGCAGCTTTGTGATGCAGCTGGGGTGCAATCAATTTACCTACCTCCTTACTGTGCTGAGCTAAATCTGATTGAGCTTTGCTTTGCTGCAGTTAAGCAGCAAATTTGGTCCTCACATTCAAATTCTCAAGTGCACTGAGGATCCTGAACTCAAAATCAAACAAGTAACTTTTGAAGTCATGATTTCTGATTTTTGCTCCAAATTGTATGAGAATTGTGGGTATTGTTTCCCACCCTACATCAGAAAATAAACTGATCACTTGATGACAAGTAACATCTAGAGATGGCACAGAAGGTACCTGTCAGGTTTTCATGGAACCCGCTTCAAAGCGCTTGAGATCAAAGAACATCAATATGTAACAGTTCCATCTCATCAAGTACCACTTGAACTTGAGGAAGAAACTAAGGGCCCATTTGGACGTGCAAAGTCCCAAATATCAACTTTGTGATATCTGAATCTGCCCATGGGCAGATGAAGAAACACAGACTTTTTGCCCAGAGAAGGGGAAGAGACCGGGAGAGGAAAACCTTGAGGGAAAAAAGTTGGTCTTAGAGACCAAAAAAGAGCTAGAGTCTACTAGCTTGCATGACAGAAAAGTGTACACACTATAAGAAGTTGTGTGAGTTATTGACCTCAGGGAAATGGCTCAGAAGACAGATAATCTTTTTATTTATATCACTCTGAAGCATGGCAATTTATCTACATACATCATTGGCTGAGTTGTGGGACAGAAGGTGGAGAGGGGAATATTCATCTGGAAGCTGGGAGAAATGGAGTGACAGAGATGTTACAGGGAGAGAAGAGCAGGACAAAAAAACTTCAGAAGTCCAACAGCAGATTCAGATTTCATCCAAAAATTTCAGGTTATCTGAACCAGTGACTCTGAGGTGCAGGTTTTTGGGATCTAGACTGTTTGGCTGCCAGTGTCTCTCATATGACGGCTTGTCATACCTGCAACCCCAACAGCCCCGGTTGAAACACCATCATTCAATCAGGAGGAACAACAACTACAAGAACATCACACTTACCATCATGCCCACCACCTCTATACTTGGAGGCAAAGGGGTCTACTGATGGTAAAGCAAGCCAAATTGATATTTCTAGCGTACCACTTATTCCAATATTTGAACCAAAATAAGCTGGTTCCAAATCATATATTGATCCTGAATGGAGCAATGTGGCTAGATGAGCTAATTAAAAATCCTCAAAAAGTATATTTTTACAAAAACCTTGGAATGACTGTACCAGCTTTTATGAAGCACAAGTATTTGCTTGAAGATGAAGGAGTTTTGTATGGTTCCAAGTATGTTTCTGAAACCAAAAAGCTGGGCATCCTCATGTATATGTTGATCACTGGACTATCAAATGGGAAGCTTCACCATGTGGTTCCAGAGATCAGTCTCAACAATTTCAATGTAAGGAATTGCTTTTTTTTGATGCAAGCTTGGTTGGCTAACAATATGGTGTATCAAGCCTGTCTGGGCACACACCCACACTAGAGTGTTTTTAGTGGCAAGAAACACCTGAAAACTGCTGTAACACAGAGTAGCAGGCACTTCTTTTCCCCCTGTGCAGATCTGCAGAATCACGCTAACTCTACACAAAATTTTAGCACATTTTTGTGCCCCATGCTTGTAGGGTAAGTCCAGAAAAGTAGAAATGTACTAACATTACACCAAATTGTAGTGTTTTTTTGCTACACTACATGACACTAATGCTATGGTTAGCGTAGCTGGCCCACCTGTCAGGGGTTAATAGATTCTAACCCCCTCATAAGAAAAAGAATACATGAAAACAATTAAAAAAGGAATAAAACATAAAGAAGGAATAGAGTGCAGGCCCGTGAAAAGAATAAATTAATAACAATTATTGAATATAGCTGCGGCGCCGCAAGAACTAACATGTCATGTTGTGTTCTTATCCCCAACAGTTGAACAAATATCTACTGATTCTAAACTTTTCCTCAACCCCAAGGAACAGAACACCCACAAATTGTCCAACGGCCTCCATCAGCATTTGTGGACACCGTTGACCTCTTCTTTCCTCTTCTTTCTTTCCCCAGATGATAAAAAACTTAGAAATTAGCTCCTACTATTGAACTTAGTACCAGACTGCTTAGCCAACTACCCAGCACTCATCAATCATTTGCTTAGTCCTGTGGTTTTCACTACCTGGATAGAAGGCTCCTGTCTGACTATCAAAGACTTCCTTAGTAACAGCTCTTTTGAGCTTTGATATTTCCTCCGACATCACACCCCTCCTCACAACAACTCTATGACCCTCATGACTGTTCTGACTTCTATGAAGTTACCCCGCTTGTTAACCCGGCTGTAAGGCTTCTGGAAGAAACATGTAAGCCTCATTGAGCCATCTCTGACCTGCATAAACACTCAATTAATACTACTACCTTACCTTTAAATAACATTCAGTTCTATTCCACCTACTCAGACTCTAGATACTACGACTTGCCCTCTCATCAGCACCCCAAGTCTGACACCACCGCTGTGACAACTGGTGTATATTATTATACTGATGATTTGGAGGTACACGTACCTTGTTGAATGGAAGGAAATCCTTCCGGTTGATGAGGTTCCACCTTGTTGGCCTTGAGACCAGTGTGATAAATAATACTGTGTTTCTACGCAGAAAATATAACAAAGTTCTTATTATCTCTTTAAACATTCAATATATGGTAAAAATGACATCAAAAATGGAATCCTTGGGTAAAATAACCACTAGTCACCCACTACAACCATACCCTTATCTGAAGAAAAACAGGAATTATGATTGAAACTAGAACCAGAACACAAGAAGAGTTGTCTTTTGATTTATACAGAACAGAGAGACTGAAATATAGTAGATCAAACAAGGACAAGTAGTAAACACTGTTTTGAAATAAGAAAGATAAAAAAAGAAAGGTTAATATTGATCGATTCAGTTCAAAGAGACTGGAATATGTTTTTCTCACCAAATTGGCAAAAGCCAAGTGAATATTTCAAGAGAGAGAGTTGGCGGAATGAGAATGAGAGGTGATTGAATAGACATCGATAGTATGTGGAGTTGTTGACGTTGAGATTGAACGATCAGAGAGAAGAGGGAAAGAAGATAGAGAATGAGAGAGAAGAAAAAGCGAAGTTGGAGAAGAATGATGAGGGGAATTGTCGAAGAGGGTTGGTAGAAGTTGGTGAAAGAGTTGAAGGAGGTAGTTGAGCAGTTTTAGTTTTAAGGATTTGAGAGGAGTGTGTCAAGGGTTAGATTGTTGGAGACTGCTAGGAGAAAGAGGACAAGAGAGCGAGGAACAATGGGATATTTATACTACATTGAGGACCGGTTCAGCTTGTGGTTGAGGGAAGGGACTAGTTTGACTTGTGGTTGATGGTGTGTCTGAGTAGGGTTGTTTCCATGGTGTTTGGTAGAGTCGGCGTAGGAAGATGGCAAGGACAAGGCGTTGGAGACGAGGATGAGGTGTCTGTTTTAGGAAGACGTTTGGTCGGGAGTATTGAGGACAGAGTATGGAGAGAGATAGACAAGTGAGAGAAGTGAGGTAAGAATTGAACAGAGTAGAGAGAGCGAGACAAGCGGAGAAAGAAGGAAAAAGGAAAAGAAGGGAAAAAAGAATGGAGATAGGAGGTAAACTGGGAAAATTCCAACATTATCTCTCATAGTTTAGAAGTTACACGTATTTCAACCTGTCACAGGATATTTTTTGGATTCTTCACTCTAGCCATAGTCATTATGAATACAGGATCAAAATTGAATATTGAGTTCCTTTGTAGTAAATTGAATACCTTTGCGTTATATTGAATCCCTTTGTACTAGTGATATTGCATGTATGCATCCCTTTGATCATACATATGCGTCCCTTTATTCATTTATATGCATCCCTTTGCAGTATAGTATCTCACAGCCTGTACCCTGGGGCTAAAATCCCTCACATTTGTCTATATAAGGAGGCCTCTGCCTGCCAGTTTTTCCCTCCATCATCCCACCAGTGGACCAGATCATCTCAACCACCCTTATAAATAAATACATCTTATATATTATTTCACAACTACAAGTCATAGCCACATAACATTTATAGCTCTATATACATTGAAATACAATTATGACACTTTCATCATCATCATAAAACAAAAGTGCCCTGAACCCATTCCATTCCTGGTTGAAGCATAGTGCTCCCAAAACTCACTCTTTTAAACTTTATATACCCCAAGGACAAGGACCTGTGTTCAAGCCCCATCCTCAACAATATTTTATCATCACCATGTTTATCAACAACAACTTCATCAACACAACCAATAGTCAATAACATCTGTATACCCTCACACATATCAATCAGCAGCTTCATCTCAAACTTATCCCTATCACTATATATAAAATTGCCAAGCTAAGCTTGGTGGTCCTCTTATTCTGATAGTATAGAAGGGCAGAGCTTGCAACTCCAACATACCCTTCTCCATTCAGCAAAAGGGTTTTCATAACCACTTTTGAGTCTTACACCGGCACCTTTTTGGCCTCAAGATTGGAGCCTTGTTGGCCTTGAGACCAGCCAAAAAGGTACACTTACCTTGTTGACTAAATCTTTCTGGTCAACAAGATTCCGCCTTGTCGGCCTCAAGACTCTACCATCTCAAGTCTGAGAGGGATTGCTCTTGGCCTTGAGATTTACAGTCACAAGGCAGGATGAACCCCTCCCGCCCGTGAGACTGTGGTTCCTCACAGCCCAATGCAGTTATCATTTCCCTACATAACACCCAGCTTTGCTGGTTTTATTGAGGGAAGCCACCAACAACAAGCCTACCACTAATGCTTTTGTCCTTTTTTCTTCTGGAGCTTTGCATACATACAATGTGTCTCTTGGACTTTGTGCTCTGGTGCTGATCAATCAGTCTCTGTTTGCTATTTACAAAGATGTTGATGTTGCTCTTCATTACACCCAAGAGTTGAAGGCTTTCAAAAGCCAATTTCTGAAATTAATACTTGTCATGAGAGCAGTAAGTTTGAGATCCCCAGATCTCAACACTATGTATCACCATCATTCAAGTTTCTGATCAACTTTGTTGATAATTGGATTGATTTTTTTTGGTTAGAAATCTTGGTGTCAAGAGTGTGCTCTTGATGGCCAGGAGAATTCCCTCCTGGCCCTCCCGGCTGTCAGGGGCTGTTTTTGGTTTGCCAACCCCCAAATGGGTTTTGGGGCATCAACTCTGTTGAGGTTAAGCCTGCTAACATGATGTATCACCACAGTTTGGAGGTGCTGTGCAGTTGAACCTAGACCAGTAAGACCCAACTACCCTGGCAGCCATAAGCTTCTGTAGCCTAGTTGGTAAAGGCAGCACTCTAGTATGTGTCTCAGCATTGCTGAGGTCGTGAGTTTGAATCTCACCAGACATGTCTTCATTTTTTCTGTCTCTACAAACTCCCTCCCCCTCTGGGAGTTTCATTTTCTTCTATTTAAAATTATTGGGGATCCAAATCTCAAACCCGCTGACAGGTTTGGGGGATTGACTCCCAATAATTGGGGAATTTGGGGGAAAATCAGGGGTTTTGGGGGTTTGGGAGTCAACTATCCAACTTTTGGGAGTCAATTAACCAAGCCCCTTTGTTTTTCAGTCTGCATTTTTTTTCATAATTAAAAGTCTTTCTCAGTTTTAGTTTAGACCCCAGAATCCACAATTCCACAAATAATTCAGTGGGACATGTTGGCAATTTATAAAATCCTTGATGAACCTATCCTGATTGTTGTCAGTCCTTAACATTATATGTATCTAAGTAACTTTCCAGAGTCCAAAATTTTACAATTCTTTAAGTGCTATTTCAATCTATTTACAAATGTTGGAAAATATGTTGTATGTCCTCTGCTGCAAAAAAAAAGGTAAGGATGATAGAATTTCAAAACAACACCTTGGACCCTGAAACAAAATGGCTATTGCCAGTTGAACAAATGGGAATGTTGTAAAATTGTGGTCAAATTGGAAAGCTAAGATGAGTCGTTGTTTTTCACACACGGCCCCAAACCTGAAAGATGACTACCCCGTTTTTCCCTGAAGCTCCTTTGGTCAGGAAGTGACCCCCCTATAAAGCCAGTCTGAAGTCAATATTATACACTTCACCAGTATAAATTACAGCTTAAAAGCCTAAGCATCACTCACCCAGATGGGGCATTCTTGCATCATCTTTCCAAAAATTTTGTCGATATCGGTCTTCAACCTAATGAGAGATGCTGAGTAAGTGCCAAACCATCAACATTAGTCCAGCCTAATTTTGAGCTTACAACATAATCTTTGATCCATCAGATGTCCATATGGCGGCCTGATGTTTCATATTTTTTCAAAAAATGTGCACTGTACTTAGCTTTGAGGGATGGAGATAATTTTCCATGGGGCTAAGGATTATTTTGACTCACATTACATTTTTTGGCCACCGACATGATTGTACTTGTGGGTACATGGTGGTTGAGGGACACAAAGTGCCCCGCAGCATTGGTAGGGATCAATCTGTAGGCCCTGTGTACATATCAGTCAATTCAATAAATAACCAATCATCATTGGGCTATCAGCATGCAAGAAGGGAGTACCCTTCACAGCTGAAAAGATACATACTCCATACAATCTTCCTTCAATACCTTAGCACCTTTGGGGTAATCACCGTTACAGATCATTTGGTTGAACTCCTTATAATCATCATAGGAACGAAAATCCGGGCCAACATGGTGACTGGTGAACAAGCGAACCCCATTAAAACCTGGGAGAGTGGCACTACCGGCCTAAACAGGATGTCCAAATTATCTGTTGAAATCAGCATTCTGAGATCCCCCTCAGGTTATGATTGAGAAAAGCGGCCGAGTATAAACGCACATAACCATTACATTTTGCTAAAATTTGGTCAAAGCCATTTTCAATTGTTGTCTTGGGGCTGTTGGAAACAAACTGATAATCAGTTGTTTGTTGATTTGACATTGACACAAGGGCAATCTGAGAAGGATTCTTCAACTCACACATTCATGAATTTTGGATTGTTGATGCGCGTCTGGTGGAGAAAATTTATGATTAACATCCGCAGAGAATGCTGGTGAATCAAAATCAAAGAACGTACAATGCAGCTTTCAGAACTCCTTTCAACACTACTCTCACCTATGTCGAGGGTTGAATCTTTGTCGTAGTTAATTTTGCGGTATGCACTGTATCGGTTTGGGGTTGACAAAGAAGAGAATGCAAATATCAATGAGGCAAATACTCCGGCTGATTGACAGGGCTTTATGTGAGAGAATTTTGGAAAATGTTTCAAGAGTAAAACCGGGAAGCTCACGCTGCGCAATCACCCGCCTTGAACTCCTTTTTGTCACCACACTTAATATCTGTGAGAGATGGTGGTTTGGTTTGTTGGAGGGAGCTCTGGAGATTCAGCAAGCTGATTACGACGACGAGAACAACTCGATGCAATGCCATGTCGACTGTCTGATGTCACTTCTGGGTTGGATTGGGCAAATTTAGCGATGTATATATGAAGCTTGAATGGCGAAGTGGGTTACCGGTTTTCCGATTGGAACTCGGGAGCTTAAATAGGGATGGAATGGTCGGCGAATTGAGAGACATTCAACACTCCAATCCCGCGCTACGGTTGGTGGCTGCCATCCACCGATGCTCTCGTTGGAGGTTGCCGTTCGCCGGTGCTCTCTTCGGTGGCTGCCGTTCACCGGTGCACTCGTTGGTGGCAACAGTGTGTGGCAATCGTTGGAAGGCGTAGGGTTACGGGTATGAGCTTGAGGCTCTGTCCAACAAGAAGAACAGAATGCAGCCAGAACAGAATCGGGCCGAAGGCATCGAATTTCCATCACCATCATGTTCTTGATGCTGCTGAAGCTAAGTGTGAAACTAATGCCACTGTCACTTTAACTGGCCCAATGTTGTGCACACCCGAATGACTGGGAAGGATTCCTCACCGAAATGAGGTTGTGTTGGGTACACCCTTGTTTCTAAACCGATGATGTGGAGGAAGGAATCAGCCAGTCCAAAACTGCAGTTTGGCACTGAAATGCCATTTTGTTACCGCTCATGAAAGAATTGATCATGTGTAACGATCATTCGCACGTGTTGTCCCTATCCTCTCAGTACTTTGTATCTTCCCGTCCTCTTTGACAAGGTATTAAAGATTTCCAAGAGAGAAGAAAGAGAATCTCAGGTTTTTGATGTTTTCTATTCTACGTTCATTATTGCACTCCAAAGCGAACCTACCAATGCCTGACCAGTTTTTGACAAAGCCACATCCTTTCGACTCGGGGAGGGTTTTTTTTTCCTTCTCAATAGAATAAGTCGCCAAACTTATACCGAAACATGCCTCACATGAGCTGGCGCGATTCTTGTCCCTCCCTGTGGGTTACCATAGGGGAAGCGAGTTGTCTCGACAGTCTTACTTCATCTCAGTATGTATGCTGGAGTATTGGAAAGCGACAGCCAGAGAACTCAGATGCTGGAGTATTGGAAAGCGACAGCCAGAGAACTCAGATGCTGGAGTATTGGAAAGCGACAGTCATGACCTTACGTTTTCTTCGTTGATGTTGAAAGCTATGGGCTTGAGCTTTGCTTGTTTATCCACTGTCTTTCAATTGGCCATGATTTCTTGTGTATCAGTGCATGAGTAACCAGCAAAAACAAGATAGGGAAAATGTTGAGCAGACAATCGACTGTGATTCTGAGTCGACAGCAAATTAAAAAAATCTTATTTTTTACAAGTTATTTTGTCCTACTACCTGGCTTGTTGATGCTCAAAACTAAAACACAATCCAGCCGCTGATCCGCAAAATAAAATAAAATAATATATAAGAGTAAAACTACACATTTATATCCAAACCATGCAGATCCGTTCGAAAATGACAACCAGATGTGTAAAACGAGAAGGGCTCTGTGCACAGCCTTGTGCTCAATTCATCTGTAGACAAATGAAACTAAAGTCTACCAATGGCTTCCGAGAATTACCAGCCGAATTTTTCACTAATGAAGTAACAATTATAGACTCAGTGAGACCTCCTCCGAAGTGTATGCACCCCCTAGAAGGAACAGTAGTGAAAAGCTTACCTGTGCAGTTTTACGCCCCCAATCCCTTGGACTTGATTGGGGTCCAAGTCCATCACGGCTTGACTAACTCCTTCAACCAAGCCGGAAGGACCACACACACCCACGCCTAATCCGCCGCCATTTACCAAAGCTTCGCCCGATGCAACTTCATTGAGTACTTGACTGAAGATGGGTCGGTCGACTTTCAATTCGAGCGATGCTAAGTAGCTTCGTTCAACTAAGCTGTTACTGTTCGCTTTCGTTAGGAATAGTTTGACCGTGACAGTGATTCCGTGCGCTTGGGCAACCCTGATCGTCTCCTCGATCCCCGGACCGAAGCTTTCGATCATGTCTTTTTGACGGATAGCACAACTTCAGGACAAAGTGAGATGGATCATTTACATAGAAAAAACTGTGTAACGTACCTGGCTCTCGCAAACTCCAGACTACATGGACGTGCTTTGTTAGGCTTCTGCCGCTTTTGGCGGCTTGACCGATTATCTGGAAACCGCAAAACGACGATTTAAATGAATATCGGGAAAACTGAATTGTTGGGCTAGCAACTTACATCTTCAAGGGCGGCCATGCAATAAGTGAAACCACTTCCCCCGGCACACTGCAATCGGTGCAAAGAATTAGTCCATTGCGTGTCTGTATTCAGATGGAAGTAAAAGCAACTTACTAAGAGTACAGTACGATAGCGAGTCATGTCGGTAAAAAAACTTCCATAAGGTCTGGAAATCAAATTGGAATCCGAAAACAATAATGAATCTTCGATGCACAAAACAGACCTAGGCAGAGCGACTTTATAATGTTGGCAGAACAGCCGGAAAACTGACCCATCCACAAGAACGTGATAAGAAGTGCCTGAAGGAGATAATCCGCCTGGAACTATCACAGCGGAGCCTTTTGATTCGTCCTTCATATCAACTGGGGAGGGAAGCTTCGATTCTATCCCCAAATTATCGGAACTGTTTTCTCGTGGATGGCCTGCTAAACAATATATCCTCTTTTTTGCAAAGGTAAGAAAGACGCGTAATCAAAGTGCAAGGTGTCAGACGGTGAACACACCTCGGTATAATCCCCGGCTGCTTTTGCCACGATGAGCAAATGATCGGTCGACCTGAAACGGATTCTTCAATCTTAGTTCTATTACTTCCAAAAACAAGAGTGTTTTAACAAGTGACTGACCCATATGGAGTTGAAGAATTCGGGGCGTTTGCAATCGTGAACGGGTGCTGTAAGGTTCAATGAAGGGAAGTACGGCTCTTGGTTTTAGTTTACATTCACATTTTGAACCACAAGAGTGTTTTACCTTTTCAAATATTTGGCGCCCTTTCAAGACTCTTAAGAATACATGCTGGCCTGTCGGAGAAATTCAATTGGTTAAGCGTTGGTAGATTACAGAGTAATGTCACACGGGATAGGCGCCCATAGAAACTGCAAGCAAGCAAGCCTACTTACCAGCACGCCAGCCGTCATTGATGCCATGAACCTCGATCCTAGTTAAGCCTCCCGGCATGGCAGTAAACGTAGCGCGCTTGACCCTGGATTTGACGACTTTGAGTAGGTTATCCAAAACGAGGAAAGCGATAGACGCCTTCAAAAACTTAACAGCACGCGGTTGGAGGCAAGGAGGTTAGTAAACTGCCGAGGAATTTTTTTGGTTGTGTGAAATATGCTCAACTGGTCTTGTGTGCTGGGAATGTAACCAAAGGATCACAACCAGGGTAATGTAACTGTTGGACGGTGGGAGGGAGGATGAGACCCCATTGTTGAGAAAATGTATTCGATTAAAGGGTCGATAAGTAAGAAGTGAAGAATGAGATTACTTACCCGAAAACGTGAAGAGTCAGGAATACTTGGTATAAAGAATTTCGGAAAACTCTGGAGCCCATGATATTGAGCAATGCAAGTAAGCAAAGTGCAACCAATCCATATTTCGGAGCCTTCTTAAAATGAATCTTGCCCGTGAGATTGTGCTGTAGGTTCATCTGTAAGGCCCCATGAATCAAGGCTTTCAAATTCAAGGAGGAAACGTCATTTGAAAATTCGAACCATTTTCGACTTAATGATCAAGAAAACTGTTTTATATACCGCCAGATTTGTGAAAAGTCAACTTACCGAATATGAAGATGATTCGTGCAATAGACCGATGGATAAAATTGAGTCGCTCGTAACCAACACCGGTGATGTGATTTAAAGGCGAATTCTTCATCGATAGAACGAATAGCAGAGGAAATTGAGAAATCGCAATCAATCCAAACCTTTTATAGTTCTCGAGGCTTCTTGTTCCTTCGAAGTTTTTATAAAGAGAGAGGATAACTAGAAGGATAAGATAGACCTGTTGGATGCGAAAAATATATCAGGATTTTTCGCTGCAGAAAAAAAGGGAAAGGATGAAAGACCCGGGCCACTAACCAGAAGAAACAAGCAATTGCCTAGATTGAAGTGATTCACCAGAGCACTCATGTAAGGGACTTTGAGATTGTACAACTTGATTAAAGTAAATTTAGTCCTGAGCAGTGGACTGCCATCGGCGAAGGGTTGTGCTTTGCCTCCATTCGGAGGCCCAGTTTCGTTACGATTTTTGGACAACAAGTAGCCTTTCTTGATGAAGGAGGCCGGCCTCGAGGTTGCGCGAAGGCGGTATTTGATGAAGCTTGGTAATCGTAACAATGCAATGAACTATTGGGGCATGGGTACAAAAAATCCGGAGTAGAACAAGTTTCAGTATTTCGTTTAGCAAATATAGCGGCCTTTCGCTGTTCGCCACCAGCACAACTTGAGTCTCTAGTGTGGCGCAACATTAGCCAGAAAGAAATCATTCCATCGATTGGTAGTCTGACAAAGTGCTCCCAAGTGGACACTGATGATAATCTTGACCTCAATGGCTTCAACGCCTTCGAAACTTCGGACTCACACAAAGAACAGCCAGAGTCAGATAACCAATGAAATCAGCGATATGTTCGTTGAGTTCATAATCGGGCGGTATGAATGGCGTGCGCCCAGGAGCTGGAGGTGCCGCAGGTGAGGCCATGTTGAAGACCTAGCAGAGAAATCAATAATTTCTCCTGAGAATGCAATAGGGAGGCGCGGGTGCGAGAATGGTTCCAGGGATCAATCGGATTTCTTGGTCTAGTCTTCTGAAACGATAAGTAATAGCTGTTGTTCCTGCTTCATTCAAATGGAAGCAGTCAATCTGCTATAAATATTCTTCAGGCGTTCAGAGGATTCGATGACGGAATAAGCAATCGGCCAGGAGAAGCAGGCCAAGACAATACGATGATGATTGATGGAGCTGAGGTCTAGGCCAATGGGGAGGTTACAATGGTCTGCAAAGTGTGCAGCTAGAAAATCAACCAACAACAGTAAGGTCGACTATCTGAGCATTATCTTGGGTGAAGATGAACTGAATTTTGCACAATTGAGGTAACTCTAGGCAGACCCGGTTGAGGTGTTTTTCGTCGTTCGAGGGATGTGGGGAGCGAATAAAATCAGGGGGGGTGGAAGCGAGCCTATTAAAGAAACGCGAGGCAGTGACTGTGGGACCCTCCGAGGGGCGATACCCTCTATAACTGATTTCCCATACATATAATCTTCAGTGATCAAGGTGAAAAAAGGAGGTTTTTTGACGTGTGATTTCTATACACAACTGTAAATACATACATAAATCGTGTATTTCTGAGGCAGACTGTCCACCGGCTTTTAAGCCTTCTCACTTGGCAAGTTGACACTCAACCCAATGCGCCACACTTGTGGTGTGACTCTTGCGGCAGTTGCGACTGGGCAAAGGGTGCATTATTATAGGGAAATGTGCCGAAATTATGTGTGCGAGAGCAAATCACAATTCTTTGTGAGGTATGCAGTGTTGGGCACTGCGACTTGAACTTTAAAGTGTTGAAAGGCTTTCTTGGCCTTTCTAGTACCTCTTCCTACATATATTAAAATATCATATCAGTTCAGCCTAAACTCAATCAGCTGGAGTTGGGAATCGAAAACACGATTATCCTACGAAGCAACGTTGCAACTTTGGCTTACTGTCTGAATTGACTCGGAAGGATAGAAGGCGTGAGCCTTGAAGTTCTTGAATCTTGGGCAACATTGCCTTCCTTCGGTTCGGGTCAGGACTGACCGAGGAGTTTTACATACATATTCATAGGTGACAAGCGGCGGTGAGGAATGCTCTACATAGCTTGTGCTTTCGAAGAGCAAGAAATTGTCAGAACGACGCTCATGTTTGCACAGGAAAAATTGACTGCGTGATAGGATGACACTGACATTTGTGGGGCGCTGAAGGTGTGGATCCCGATGAGTGCTGCCGTACACATAGGGGTAAGGGGTCTTCCAAGATGACATGGTATGCATGTACTCTAAGTCGAAGCTTTTTTTAGCAAACAAGAAACTCCGCCAAGGGTGATGATGACTCGTTAGCCAACTCGAGGTTAGTCTAAAGATTCATAGGGGTTATCGATCACGTCCTGCAGCAGGGAAAACTCAGCCTACACAAGATGTGAATGAGCCATTCATGGCCATGGTCCAGAAATCTGAACTGTGCTTCCCAAATCCATGTGGAGAATGCTTGGAGGTGCTTGGGAATCGATCACAACAACACTGTCACTTATGGTCACTACCGTAGCTTACAGTTGTCCGTAGGATACGCGTCAACCCAAAATTGACATGATCGTGCCCTGAACATCGGGTCTTATCAGATAAACAGAAGAGATACCACAACTCACCACACCCGGACAACATCAATTTGGAGATTAAACAAACACGGGATTGAGACAGGATATATAAACCTATTGAGCCAAGACAAAAGCCAGAAAGTTGAAGTAATATGTGCGCATTCATGCATACGCATCGACACATGGAGCAGGGTAGGAGGAAAGAAGAGGAGGTACACTTCGGAAGTCCCCTTAAGGCTGCGGCTTTGTGCAACATGGAATCATGCAGGAGAAAGTTTGTTTGAGTTTTTTTTTGGCAACCAATCGAATTGGGCAACCAGAACAAAGGCTTCGATAAAAGGGCCAACTGTAAACAACCATACCAGGATAGTTCACGCACTATTGTCCGGATGGTAAACTTTACTCAAATCAACCTCTGTTGGCATGCCAGGGAGGTTTGCAGGGGAGCTGCCCTTGAGAGGCAAAATTAGGCAAGATCCCATGGGGCCATGCTTGAACTTGACTATGTAAAAAGTGTACATAAGCAACAAATTTTGGATCATTTAGCAATGGTTTTAGACCAATATTAACTGCTGTCAGCTCCGGTCTCTTATGTGACCAGGAGTTGATGGGGTATAGGGTCACACTATAGCCACAGAGGTGGCCAGTGGAAATAAACCTCACCTCAATGCTAGAAAGCAGAGGGGTTAGCTCCCTGGGTTAGAGGGGACGATGGTGGAATGAGCATCACCACGCCAAGCTTAGAGCAGATCAAAAGAGGCTCTCTTCTAGACTACAGTAGTGACTTAACTGTAGTCTAGGCTTGTAGAATAAGGATAAAGATGGAAGGTAAGGAGAAAAGGGAGAGTTTACTGCTAAAACCCCACTCACTAATATTAAGTAAGGTACACGGGTTTGTATGGCAATAATCTCCGGGGGAAGGAATCCTAGAGGGAAAGCCTTCCCCTTAAGTATTGCAAGGCAGGGTTCAGGCTGCCTGTTGGATCGGTGCAGTCCCCTTATTTTTACACTATTCCTTTGGGGGAAAGTGTCAAGATATTCAAACATGCACATGTACATGTGTTGACTACCTCTCTTATTTCAGAAAATAGAATTACATAGGTAGAATATCTCTTATTTCAGAAGATACACAAGAGAGATACACAAGAGAGATAAACAGGATGATAATCACTTGGATAAACACAAGAGATAATTATCCTTTGCAATTTAATTATTATTTTCATGAGAGAGGTACATTAATTATCCAGAGAGAGAGATAAATATGTACAGAGGTGAATCATTATTAATTTAAAGAATAACATTAAATAAATACTTATTAATTTAAAGAATACATATAATAATATTTATTATTATGAAACCTGGAGGGGTTAAATCTCATGTAGACACATGGACCAGTGTCTCAGTGTCTGACAACTGCCCTGCCACTACTAGGGCAGTTTCACATACTTCTGATGGATGCAACTAACCTTTTCTAACATGCCAGGAAAGGAATGGAGCTAAGCCAAGTCTCACAATTCAGCTTTACTGCAGATTATGCATGAGCCATGAACTGTATCAAACACCAGCAACAACTTTTGGTCAAAGTGAACTGCAGTTACTGCCCTACTACAATACCAGATTTGTGAAAATAAGGCAGTTGGCATACTTCTCATTTCAAAATCAGAAGTCAAACCTTTTTTGCAACAAGTCTTCACTGATTTCTCTTAGGTTGAATGAAAAGCTCCCCTTTAAAAGCATGATCCAACAGTTAAAATTCACTAGAAACATGCATTGAGAAGCAAACATGCTTGCTATAATTGAGTAGAGATCTTGTTCAAACATGATGATGAAACCTGTTATCAAAACCTTCTCAATTTGCACAAAAAATGCTTTTGATTGAAACATTTTTCCTTGCCTTGAAGCTCAGATACAAGTGTGATGTTCAGAATTGATTTCAAAACATCTTTCTAAATAAGACCATAAGCTTATCATGTCCACAACACCAATTCCAAAAAAAATAGATTTGTTATTTTGAGATAGTACAGCGTATCCCTATAGTGAAGTATGATTCTACTCTACAAACCTACAAGCTAGCATACATATTTTACCACCTTATCTGGTGGAGTTCTTTGCCCAGGTGTTCAGAAACTTCCCACTGAATGTTCATTTGGGAAAGTAGAGCAAAGAAAGAATTGGGGATGCCTTCCCACAGGTCTCTTCCTAAGAAGAATTCAGACCAATTTTTTCTTGATCAAGAAATGGTTTTATCTGTATAATAATGCCTTGGGTATTAGGGTCTTTCTTGAGACGTAAATTGCCAAAAAATGGTGTTCAAAGTGACATATTCAGTAACTAAACATGACATGTGACTTGCCAGGGACCTGGAGGGTTGTTTAATCAACTCTCCAAAAGTGGAGGATCAACTCACAAAGTCAAGGGATGTTGAGAGGACCAAGTGGGGACTGTCTCAGGATGTCCCCAGCCCTGGCCTTTTGGTCCCCTGAGTATGTAGATGGGAGTTGTAAACTCAGCCGTTTAGAGGAAGACTCACAGAAGTCAAGATTATACACTCTTGGCAACCAGGAGGTACAACTACACTCTCAGTGGCTGAGAGTGTACTCTCAATGGCCGGGAGGGTCATTGAAGCTGCCTTCCCATGCTGAGTTTACAAGTCCCTTTTCCCCAGGAGCTTCTGGAGGATCAACCTCCAAACCCTCTGAGGATTTCATCTTTTTCTATTCTAATTACTGGGGCCTTGACTCCCATTCCCACTGAGGGAATTGGAGGAGTGACTCCCATCCACTTGTAGGACCAAAAGATTTGGAAATTGGGGCTGGGGAGACAGTCACCACTTCTTCCTCTGAATGTCCGTTGACTTTGTGAGTCAATCCTCCACTTTTTGGGAGTTCATTAACCAAGCCCCTATCCTGTTCATGATACTCAAAAAACTGGTATTGTTTGTTGTATTGAAAATCAGAAACAATTGGTATTTTATCAAGCAACCACCACACTTTCTTGGCCAATTTATACTGTATTCAACAACCAAATCTGAAAATAAACAAAGACATGTTATTGTATATTTTTGTATTGGGCTGTATTTGTTACCAGATAAAAAAAATTTGATACATTTGTTTAGTGCTTGTTTTTTGATACAACACTGATTTTTCTCAATTTTTCATTTATAATCATTGTTTTCACATGCCATTGTGTTGATCCTGATTTTTTGAGCTACTTTGAAAAATGATTGAAAAATATCAAAAAAATCAGAAAATGAGGAAAAATATACAAAAATTTCACAAAATAGTTGTCAGATTTCGAGCCCTGACCCCTGTCTCGAGGCATCAGCCTCGAGCTCGTTCCTCAGCCAAGTCTTTACCTGTAAGTAAGACTGAACCAGTTAAGGGTTCAATGCCCCTTCTGTGAAAGCCCTGAGCTAACCACCCTCTTACCCTATCTACCGATGCCTCAGGTATCGATGCTCAGGAGATTCCAGTGGACCAATACGGTCATGAACCGACTACCGCATGAACCATGCGATGCTTAGACCCTTAGCCAGTGAGTGACAAACAGATGACTTACCTGTTCGCACAACGATAAAAAGCTAACCTTCCTTGACCTTTGTGTCCAGCATCTGCGAACTAACATCGAACTTAGAATTTATCCACAAAGCTTCCCCAAACACTTCGATATCCAGATCATCATCACACAGACCTGCGACGACCTCGTTCCGCATTTCTGTTTTCTCTTTCTTGTAGCCTTTTCTTCTACTTGCTCTTGTCTCACACGACTCTCATATCCTTCTCGCTGTCCAAAGCCTCATCTTCTGTTCTCAGCACACCGTGCTCCTTCTCGTCTTCCCTTCTTCCTTTAAAAACGCTCTGCGCTTTACTTCTTGTTCATACTTTCGTCCTCCCACCTACGTACCTTGCTCTTAAGGTACTAAGATTTCTCCTCTCTTTTTCTCCTCATGTTTTATTGTCTGTCTTAAACTGTTCATACTAAGATTCTGACATCGTTGCAAATAAACTCTTAAGTTTCCAATTCTCACAATAGTTTCTTGTCCAATTTGTCAGAATCATTCTTGAGAACTCATTTTCCACAGTTTCACCAGGAAGCATGAATTCAGGTTCATCGGTTTGCCCTCTAGACCCCAATTAAAGGGTTCCATTTTTTCTGTCAAGGGGCTGTACACCATCTGCCATGCTCCTTTAGTGATAGTTTATGGCAAGGCTCTGTTATCAGACTATCTTGACTAAAATAACTCCCCTTCTAAGCTCTTGGGTCAGGGATCTTGACTGTGTAATTCCTAAGGAATAATTTCCTAGCTGAACTGTGGCATATATATCAAGACATTAAGGATGATGTTTGGACTGGGTGTCCATTGGCCCACTGGTGCAGGCACACTTTTCTCATAAAATCTAGAAATCAGCCCAACCCACAAATCTTACTCATAATCACAGGCTGTCAGGGGATTTCCAGTGGGGGCCTGTGGGCCTGACAGATGCAATCCAACAGCTCTGGATACCTTTGGATACTATGGATTACGTAGATGGCTGAACTTGTCACAGTCTGCTGAGATATGTATGAAATCAAAAACTTTTCCCTAGTCTAACCCTCTGGTGGGTGGCCCATGGGTAGCAGACATTGCCCACATATCACAAAGC